ACCACACACCCACACCCGCACCCACACCCCACACCCGCACCCACACCCCACACACCCACACCCTCATCCACATTCTGTATGTAGCGAGAAAATGTATGGGATTTATCTCAAAGTGCTTACGAAGTTATTGAAAAATCCCAATAAATCCCGAAAAAATAAGTCCCGGTAGCTGCTGGCTTTATCATATGCAAAACAAAATATACTCAACATAACATTCGATAAAATTATATTGTCGGTTATTGCCCAAGCTGAAAAAAAAATCAATATGGATCCAACTGCTTCACTTGATAATCTTCCTGCGCTTGTGACACAGGTGTGTCTTTCCGGTGCCAACATTATCGTTCTTGAAAATGCTATTATTAATGCTCAAAGTGAAAATATGAAGAATTTTCTACGACATGTTATTGTTGAACTAGGTATATTTTGTTTTTTTTGTAATAAAATAATATTCAATTCTTTTATCCTAGTCTAATTGATTGAACCTGATCTGCACGTGGGACATCAATTCATGTTAGAATATGCAAAACTAAGTTCTAAGATCATTAGCATGCAATTATTATGAAAGGCATTATTTTGTTTTTTTTTTCTGGTCATGTATTTCGTTATTTTCCATTGTTCATTGTAAGATACCTAGTCCATCAATCATTTATTTATTTTACATAAAACATAAAAAATATATAATGAAGCTTTCGACCTCCTTCAAAAGGTCATTTTCAACACTAAAGTGATATGAAAAAAATTTGTAGCTAATATATCAAGTGATTTTTTTCCTCTTTTCGTTCTGCTCTGAACATTGTACTGAGCCTTCGCAGCACAATGTTCTTTTCAAATATGATTTAATTGAAATATCAGATAGTCTGAAAATAAAACAACAAGCAGTTTTAACACTGATTTCTATTTGAATACTACAGGAAAACAATGAATGTACTAAATTAAGTCTTTTTCTGTCAATAAACATATACACAGGTGACATGCTCGAAAAAAATAAACTCTTCAATAGAATAAATGTAATCCTGTCATTTGCAGAGAATATGATCCTAAAACACGATTTGTTCTCAAAATTTGATTGAAAGTCAAGTTCAATAGATTATTGATTCAAGCACTTAACAAATAATATTTCTTGATTGAATTCAATTGAATCTAACGACAAAACAAAACCAATAAGATTGCAGATGATAAACTCAAAATAAAATCACTTCGTGAAAAATATATTCGGAACCTCATTAACACATAAGAAGTACAAGATTATTATTAATTGTTATGGGTTCAATATTCAAAGTTTCAGGAAAAATCGAATACAATTGCTTTTCAATATCTTTTCCTTGGGTTCAATATTCGTCAATCGGCTATAACTTCCATGGTAAAAATGATATTTTACATTCATCCTTCTCAAAAATCTCTTCTTTCTCAGGACCAAGAAGACAACAAAACTGAAATATTAAAACATTATTAATTTAGTAAAATGCAAGCATTATTTAAAGCCAATCCAGTCTAAAGTAAAACGAAAATAGAAACATATATCTTGATTATTAACTTTTTTTTGTAAATACAATTTATTTGTGTTCGACTTCTTTATCAGACTAAACATTTTTTCTTCATTTTTTAATATCATGTCTTCGAAGAACAAAACGTGTTCTTAAATCAACATCTGGAGATATGAATTAGACATTTTGATGAAGATCAACTTGACCAGAATCTAATGATATTTATATGTACATCAGTATACTTCAAACCAAAAAATATTGAATCTATTCGAATAATTTGAACCTAGATGTCAAGTACTTTTCTTAGTCGTTAAATAAAATAAAAACCTTCGGCATTGTTTCATTGAAAAGTAGATCAAGAATTCATTTTCTTCGAAGCGCAAGGATTGCGAATAAATCCTCGTCAATAGTTTTTCTTTTTGAAGAGGTTTTCCATCGGTTTGAAAATTATCAAATTGATTTATTAGGAACTTTTCAAACAAAATAAGATAATTTGTTTTATTTAGAGAATAAATTACAAATATATTTTGCATTTCAAACTTACATGACATATTTTTATATACACAATATTAACAGAAATTGTTGGAGATAATGTTATTCTACATTGATCTATTTAGTGGTGAACGAATTAACAAATCAATAAATGATCGATTGCTTTCCTTCGTTTCTATACACATGCTACACATAAAAATATGTGAAACATGAAGAATATACCTGTCTACACTCAAGCACGTGGAAGACGAGAAAGGATTTCATTTTATTGGATTTTGCGAGAAATTTTCTTGTAATCGATTACTCATTCTAGATAGAATGCAGCACGTTACTTAAACCAACCAACTTTTTTTTTAACACTGAGTGATCGATTTGTTTTTATCCGACACAGTTGTCCTCGCTCCATCCGAGATGTTTTCCTATTGGTTACATCTACCTTTATAATTATTGTCAAGTCTCTATAGATATTAGTTAAACACTTCTGTCCACAAGATAAAATTGTCAATGCATGAAGTAAAAATTGAACTGTTCTCATAAAATAATAACATACTTATTAGAACGATTTCATTCATTTTGTTTTCATATCAATTTCAAATGAGAACCATAAAAGATCTCGAAATGAATTTTTTTAAATCTATTTTTTCTGACGAACAATTACAAATCCTTTTAGAAATCTGAATAGAGGTTTGTTTTTTAATTTTAATTCGATGAAAACTTCTCTTCAATCAGATTTTGTATATATATTTGAAGACAAATAAGTAAAAGTACTAGCTTAATCGAATGAAGAACTTCAGAATTTATGGCTAAATCTTTTCATGAAAACGTTCAGATTTTAATTTTCGAAATTTGAATTCTTGCTCGAACAGAAATATGTGCATATATCATATTTCCTTTAAAATATATCATTTTCTTTAATCTTATGCCAATTAAACGAAAGAAAATATTATTTGAAGCTATTTATGTCTGTATATATCAAAGATCTAAACAGACCTATTTTTCTTAAGCTTGGCCTGCCCATGGCAACCTGTAAATCTCTTCAGTCTGCCTACCGTTGCCTGTGTATTTTTTTATATATGCTATCATTTCTATGATACTTCAATGGGAATAGTATTATGTCTTGATAACAGACAATAATAAATACTCATTTTTCATGTTACACCACTCAAGATACTCCCCTGGGATTTTTAAAGCACTTTTCTATTGAAAATCATGAAAATTGTGACAAGCAGGCGGTCTTTCTATCCTAAATAGCCTACCTGACCGGAGACGGGCAGGTCCAATGGCCTATTTGGACCTCTGGTATATATCTATAATGAATTGATGACTTCGTTTAGTTTTTACTAGATTGGTTTAAGACAAAAATAAATTCATTAATTAACATTTCATCTAATGTATGTGCAATCAAATTAAATACTATTTCTCGACCGCATTGCAAAATGAATTATGTTTTAGAAATATCGTTCGATAAATATATTTTTATTCAGAAAAATTATCGCCAAGAAAAATCTTTCCAACATTACGGCAAGTTCTACATCGTCAGCCAGTGACCATTTTTTTACACAAGACATGTCTCTAAAATCATATACGTTGTTTTTGCTTCACCCGAACAGAAGTTTCTTTTTGAATACTATATTGGCTTTTATCATTTTCGACAGATCATTATGTTTATTCTCAATATCAGAACCCAAAATAGAAAATAGATAATATAAAAACATCGGAGAAGACGAATGAAAATTCTGAATGAAATCCCTTCTATTAATTAAAAGTTAATAGACCAATAATCGAAAAAGAAGAAAATGATAGATTAACAATGAAATCTTTTTAACAAACATAAATAAAGTCTAACTGTTATATTATATTGCGTATTGTCGATTGACATATATACGAGACAATTCCAGTACGATAAGTTTCTACAATCAAATAGAGATGATTAACGTTTGATTTTATAGTAAAGAATTTCATTTAATAAATTCATTTATTAGATTTTCACCGCTTTTTATTAAGAACTGATGAGTGAGTGATTAGTTATAAAAATAAATCAAAACAAAAATTTTTAACAAGATTTTTTCTACAATAAAAATGTTTCAAATTAAAGAAATTGTTTTCGTCGTTGATAAACAATCAAGTGTGTTGGTAAAGCTAAATAAGCATCATCATTTGTTAATAAAACAAAATCATTATTTCTATCATATTTAGCTAATTGAACAGCAAATAAATAATGTTTTCCATCTGTTGAACGACGAGTTCCATATAAATGACTATTCAATACATCACGTGTCAAACAAATCGATCCATTTCCAAATTGATCACCTGAAACAATTAAATATAATAATGAATAAATAATTAACTAATATAAAAAAAACCATAATTTGAAGAATTTGATGAATGTAAACCATAATGAATTATTGATTGAACTGATGAATAAGAAGAACCATGATAATATAATTTCGTTTCGTTTTTATTATTATTGATAAATTGTATATATAATGGATAATTTTCAATTGAATCAATCTATTTTAAATAATAAAAGAAATTCTTTTTAAAATAAAAAAATAATTCGAAAACTAACTCGTTCAATAATCCAAACATCATTTGACATTGTTTCATAAAAATCTCTATAACATTCTAATGATTGATATAAAGATTTGTTTACTTCTATTATAGAAATTGTTGAGAAAGATGAAGACCATGATGATGGAATTTTTACTTTTGAATTAACTAAAATAAATCTTTCAAAAAATAAATCTTAAATCAATCTTCTTACCATTTATTTCTTTTTTAACAAGAAACGCTGATTGTTTTCTTCGATTTATTTCTACTTGTAATTTATTCAAATCAATATTAAAAATCATTTGATTATCATCTTCAATAGAAACCTAATTTTAAAAAAAAATCATTTTTAATAATATAAAAAAGCAAGTATGACTAACATTTGATTCTTCCAGAGCAAAAGCTTCATCAATTTTCAATGAAATAAATGAATTGAACTTTATTTCATCAGATTTTTCTCCATTTTCAGTTAATACATAACTATATTGATAGACTTTTTTATTTTGACGAATATTAAATAAACATTGAAAACATGAATCACGATCACCACTAACTTTTAATTCATTTTTAGAATAATCAATACATGGAAAAACATTATATTTAAAACATATATCAATTAATAAATCAATCTTTAAAATAATTAACAAAAATATTTTACTAAAATTAATTAAATAAATATAAATACTTTATCAATTAATGATGGTTCAATATATGATAAATCAAAACTTTTTTCGTATAATAAATTTTCTAATGATTTTATCAATAGATTATGATCTTCAATCATATTCGATGAATTTGATAAAGTTAACACACGTTTACCTAAACAATAAATATTAGTTCAATACAAATTTCATTTTAACAATTAAAACATTTTCTTTATCAAATTTTTCCGATTGTCTCATCAGATAAACAAAAAATTCAAACACAAAACAACTCAAATCTAATCAAATAAGCTTGACAAATTTCAATAGTTCATATTAAAAACAGAACTACTTTCAATCAATACTCAAACGAACATCAAATAGAACAGTTCATCCTATTTCTAATACAACATTCGGATTGATCCTTATGTTTTATAACTATAAAGCTATGAGTCCACCTTGTTCTAGATCCAGACCTGAACCTGGATCCCATAATAAATTAAATTTTAGAGCCGAATCTGCAGCTCTCTACTTATAACACGAAAAAGAACGAGTTTTGAATAAAATAAAATTGTTTTTAATAATGATTCGATAATTTGACGAAATGTTATAAATAATATATTGAAAACAAGAAAAACAAAAGCCAAACCTTGTATATTTCGTCGAATAAATTCTATTTGCGTATCCGAACTATTTAATATATTTGTTTGATTATCAATGTATGGTTTCGAAAGTTGATTTGGTTTAATTTGTTCACAAAGACTATCAAGATAAATTCTAAAAACCTATTTTAAATAAATAAATAAATAGGAAAAACAAGAAAAATCTTTTTTTTTGTTAATGACTTGATAACATTCATCATCATCATTTTGATGATTATTATTAATTTGAGTTGATGGATAAATAACAAAAATAACATCTATTTTATATTGATGTAAACAATCACTTGCTGCATTAATCATTGCTTCACAAACAAAAGCTGGATCAAGACCAAGTTGACCAGTACCAATCTTTTTTAATTATTAATAAAACAAAAAAAAGATTTTTATTTATTAAATATCTTACAGGTGGAAATGAAATTGATTTCATTTTTCGTTGATATCCTTGTTGAATACACCATTTAACTAAATCTGATAATGACTATTTATATTAATAAAATTATTTTATTTCTAATTAAATTAAAAAAAAAAACAACTAATTAACCTTTTCAGTTTGAATTGTTTCTCTTGATTCGATATCTGTTTTCCATGGAACAAAAAGAATTTTTTTTGCTGCAGTTAAACCACCATCAAGAAGTAAAGCATCTGTTGGATGATAACGTTGTTTATATTGGGATTCAATTTGATGACCAGCACGACGAATAACACTATCACGTAAATTATTTGATGTACTTACACATATCATCATATCAACCTTTAACAATATTTTATTTGATTTTTTTTCTTCTTTTTTAATTAATTAAAGATATATTACTGGAATTTGACTTATATCACCAGATATAACATCAATTGATGAACCAGTTGAACTTATATGAAATTTTCCATCCAATGATAACTATTATAAAAAGATTTTTTATAATTAAAATAACAAAATGAAAATGAACCTGTTCGGAAGTTTTATCATCAATAGAAGATGATCTTTTCTAATCAAATAAAGAGAAATTTTCAAAAATAAATAAATTAATGTTTTTCTTTTTTCATACATTTTCACTTAATATTGGTGAAGAATTCCTTGCTTCACTTCTCGTTTGATGGATTACATCAATAGTTACTAGAAATAAAGAAATTTATCACTTTTCATCAATAAATTTATTATTTTAAAACTTTTCATAATTCAACCGACTCACTAAAAAGTCAGCTAAATCTATAAAATTCTTCTTTCTCTCTCTCAATAGTTCAATGAACTTACAATGAACTTTTGCTGGTTCAGTGATAATAGCATAATGGATTTGACCTACGTATCCAATGAAATTTGAATAAACCGAAAAAAAAGATAAAAAAAACAACTTTGTTGAAAAATAAATTCTGCAGCTGATGAACAAATAATAAGTGCAAGATGATCATCGACTTTGACAGTTTCAATATTGAATGTATGAGGTAAAATTGAATATAATTGTTTTTCAATATCTTTTCCTTGTTCAATATTTTTTACTCGACAATAACCCGATGGTAAACATGGGAATATTTGACATTGATCATTTTCATTTAGATTTTTTCTTCCAGGACCAAGGAGATAAGATAACTTAACAAAAATTAAAGAAAATTTTCAATAAAGACAATTATTATATTAGAATTAAAAACAAAAAAATCATCACATTCTCTAGGTTACCTGTTGATCATTAAATTCTTTCTTATAAACATAATTCATTAGTGTTTCATTTGTTATTCTAACTGAACTTTTTTCTTTAGTTTTTTTCTCATGTCCACGAAGAACAAAACGTATTTTAGAATCAACATCGGCACATACTGATGAAGCATTTTCAGAAGAATCAATTTCACTAGAATCTAAACATACATATAATATATATAGATGATAACAATAAATAGAAGAAAACTAAATAGCTCCTATTGAATTATTATGATTTAACTCTTCACCCCCCATAACGATTCTATAAGACTGACCAATAAAACAACTATTGAAAGAGAATATTGTCTTCTTCAGTAGGTCAATTATATAAACAGATCGACCAAATGTGCGTTCCCTGTGTGCACGGTAATTTGGCAACTCCATTTGTAGTTGGAGCGTAGCAATATGAAAATGTTTTTTTTTATCTTTTGCGAATAGCTTGTTGATTTCACAAAAAATCCAATATATTGTTTTAATTCAACGATACAAATAAAGAAAAAAGCAACACATAGAAAGGTTTTCCTTTTTTTCTCTATCACACATGTGCTCTCGAAGTGATTAAATAATCAAGCAAAGAATATAATTATTGATTCATTCTTTTTCAACTTCGAATATAATAAGATTTAAAAGAATTTCGGGTATGGTTTCGATCTCTTCTTGTTCGACACTGACACTCAGATCCATGCATACACACATTAAACATATATATAACAACAAATTATGCCCGTATTTATAAATAAGAGTAATCTCTTTACTTATCTATCTGTAAATATTAACAAGTTTTGCATTTAGATGAAAATAAAAACTTTTTTGTTCCATGTCGTTATCTCCCAATGACAACTCTAGTTGCCATTTTATGTCGTAGAATCTCTTATTCCATTAAATTTGTGTGAAACTCTTTAAATGTATTTTATAGGATAGCAGCAACTTTTGTCAATATTTATCGCCCATGACATCATCAAGATAAGTATTTTTCCTAGGTTAAAAAGAAACTGATTTTAACAGAAGAGATTGTTTTTTAGTAATCTCATAATTGTTTCTTTTCTAAGTCGTATATCTTAGAGAGAGACTAAGGATACAAAATATTTTTTTTACCAATCACGATAGCTTGAAGAATTCTCTACACAGGGTGTGTAAAGAGTTTTTTTATACGACGCGTTCTGTATATTCTGTAATGTTTTTAAAGATGTCAATTCCAGTTGTCAATGATGGATAAAGGGTTAAAACTAGAAGTCAAATATTTTTATTGATAGGTAATAGAAATGTGACAACTCGGTTAGAGTTTCATGGTTTTATTCTCTTTGGAGAATAATATTTGAAAAATAGAACAAATATATATAGCTCAATTAATCAGCTTCAACTGATTTATGATTATCAATGTCTTTATATCGTCACAATTGGACAATGGTCAGTGACTTGCAAGGATGATTCAAAGATTTTAGCTAAAATTGACTAGATTTTGAAAAGGGGTTGTGCAGTTTTTTTCACAATTGATCAGTAGAAAAAGAATAAAACATCGAAATTTCGCCGAAGAAAAAGGAAAATTTGTTAAGATTATGATTTACCCTCTCGACTTTTCCCGATGAAGACATTCCTGATAACAATGCTTATTGATTGATGTTAATTGTTTAGTATTTTCTATTAGAACTCGATTGTGTAAATATTGATATAAATTTAGTTGTTGTTTAAAAAGCGAATATATCTATCGATTAAATTATTTATCTTATTGAGAATGTTAAAATGCAAGAAAGAAAAATATGATAGATATTCGATAAATAGATATAGATAAATAAATAAAGTAACGTACCATCATTCGATGGTGATTTATTATTATAATTATTATCGTCAATGTGATATTGATTGTTTTGATCTAATTGAATATTTGTTGAATAAGATGTTAAAGATGAATTTGATTGAGATTGATTTTGATTTTGATGATAAATTTCATCTGAAATAAAATTTTTTTCATTATTATTTATTTGTGATGTTGGATTTGTTTTATTATTAATTGTTATTGGTTTTATTTCTTGTGAATATAGATCATTCTTTCTTGAATTAAGACGTTGAGAAAATTGAAATTTTCTTTGATTTGATGTTGTTGTTGTTGTTGTTGTTGTTGAATTATTCGATAATAATTGTTGATTTGAATAAAGATTTTGATTATTTAAATTTGATTGATTATTAAATGAAGAAAATGAATTATTATTTGATAATGAAGGTGAAGGTGGAGTTTTATTCAATTGATTTCTTCCACGAGATCGTCCAAATAAAGAACTAAATCGATTTTCATCTCCTGATTTATTTTTCTCATGATTGAATGTTGGAGAAATCTTAAAATAAATTCAAATCAAAATAATTTTATTTATTAAATAAATAAATAAATAAATAAAATAATACGTTGTTATTATTTGTTAATTCAATTGGTTGATTATTATTTTCAATTGAATTTATTTTCGATTGTTTATTGAAATTATTTTCATTGATTTTCGAATTATTTAAATATATATCATTAAATGAAAGATTTTTCTTTACTGAAATATTTTCTCGATGATTTTCTATTATAAAATCTTCCATCATTGAACAAACTATTATAGAATAAAATAATATTTAATTAACAATTTAATTTTTATTAAAATACCTTCATCATCATCAAATATAAATTGAATAGTATATGGATTAATTAATCTATAATGAATTAATAAAGATTTATGATCATTTAACCAAATATCAATTAAATCATCAGTTATAGATTGTTGATTATTTGTTTCTATAAATAATCTTGATTGATTTTTAATTGATAATGATATTTGAATAAGATGAGAAATAAATTGAAATGTTGTTTCATTATCATCTAATGATAAATTATATTGATTAATTATAGAATGATTATGTTTTGTTGATAATGAATGAGAATGTGAACATTTTCCATATTTATCTAATTCTAAACAATTTTTATTTAAAATATAATCTTTACAAATATGAAGTTGTTGACATGATAATGATTTACATGAACCACTACTTTTTTGATCAATTGAACATAAAGAAAACTAGAAGAAAAAAAAAAGAATTTTATTTTAAAAAAATATCTATATAAATAATAGTTACATTATTTTCAAAGTAAACTTTATTTTGATCTTGTGATAAATAAAAAATCTTTGATATTTTTTCATCAGAAAGAAGATCAAGAATTAATTTTCGTGGAAGTGGAATAATTGTTAATAAATCTTGATCAATATTTATTTCAAAAGGTTTTCCACTAAGTTGAATTTTATCAAATAAATTTAAAATTTTTTCAAATAAATCCAAATCCATTATACAAATATTATTTAACTAACTTTTTCTTTTCTTTTCTTTTATCAGTTAAATTACAAATGATAAACATTTTACATTCAAAATTTATATCCAACTTTTTTTCCCAGAGAACTTTCAAAGAAAAACTTTGATAGATGACGCTTTCTTTTTTATTTAATTATTTATTGGTCAACATATATCAAATCAATAAATGACGTATTGTCTTACAACACAACAAACTCCAACTGATTCATATTTTATTTCCAGATTCTACTTCAGTTATGCATTTTATCTATGGTTTAGTATGAAGAAATTCTATAGAATAATTTTCATATAAAAAAATTCAAAATTTCATTTCTAATCGAATGAGATACATCCTATCACAGGCAAACTTCTATAACACATGTCTTTTAGACCGAAAACGGATTTAGTACACAGACAGAGAAGAATAAAACATGGAGTCTTAAGTGGATTAATATAAAACGTACTATGTGTGGCGTCCGCTGAAAATGTTGACGAAAATTGAATATGAGACTGATTCAAGTCGATTGAGAAAATAATTCTCTATCGAACTGCACTTACAGTTTTTTACGATAAAATCTTTACAGCTGAAAATAATCGAGACAATCTGACCAATCGAAATAGAGATGAGGTATAGTCACTTTTATTCGGAGATAAGACTGAAATTGGAAAATCTGATTGAATGATAAAACCTATCTCCTATACAAGCATATTCAATATAACGGATGGTCGTGGGAAAAGTGTGAAGATCTTTAGTGAGATCGAATGTATTAGTATGGTGGTGATTTGATAAATAAAAAGAAAATATGGTTGCCTCTAATCAATATATGATAATCATCTTTCATTTTCAGTTGTCAATTGTATTATAGTAAAGAATTTTGAAATATTTCGATAAATAAAATATTTGACATAGATGTCACTAATTGAAAATGCATTTTATAATAATTGAAATAAAAAAACATGTTTTTATCCGTATGAGGGTTTACTAATTGTCGTCATCGATTGTTGTCATTCTGTTTTGTAAGAGACTTGTCAATTTATTTTTCTATGGTAAATCCTATATTAGTATCTCACAGAAATGAGAAAGGTTTTTTAATGTTTTTATGGGAAAATTCATCTTTTTTCTCTGAAGTTTGTTCGTTGTTGTTTTTTAATGTTTAGATTATTAAATTGTAACAAATTTGAAAAGAAAATGATATTCAATGTTTTTCTCAAGTATATATATAAATATTTGCTGCATGATTATCATTAATTAGATTATTTACTCAAGTAGATTAGCATAGATATTCTATATCATTATTTTATTCGAGATTTTATTTTCATCTTAAAAAAACAAAAATATTTATTAGTTAATTATTTATTTTTAATTTTAGATTTATAATTAACCAAAAACTAAAATGTTCAGAAAAGTGAGGAACTTAATATATAGGAGATTGTTTTAGAAAGAAAAGTTGACAAACTTTAGAATTTCTCATAGTATTTCAATAGTTAAAAAATATTTATTTTGTCAATGTAAGTGACTATTTTATCTGCAGAAACTTCTTTATACCTAATACTTAAGATCGTGCAAGATTATTTGGTGAGATAGATATTTACTTCTCTAAATCTTGTTTATACGCTTTTCAGAGATATACATCGCAGCTGAAAATCTCTTGTGTCCTTTGAAAAAAAAAGCTATCGCGCCACGATAGTTTTGAAAAAAGTGTTTCTAATTTGATTTTTGCGACTATATTTGACCATAAATGTCCTCGAAAAAAAAAATGTTCCCACTGCCGCACCGGCATAGAGATCTCTGACTGTTAAATAGTAATAGATAATATTTGTATAGAGAAAAGTTGTTATTCTAATAGAAAAATAAAGTTGAATTATTAAACTAAAGAAAAAGATTTTTTTAAATAAATATTCGAATATTTTCGATTGTATAAATAAAATAAATAATTTTTTGAGAATATATTTTGTTGGAAAATAATCTTCGATATAAATACGATAAATAATAAGTAAATATTATAAAAAAAATAAATTTAATCTTATAGATAAAAGAAAATTATTAAATAGTATCTGTTTAGCATGATAATTGATTATTTATGCTTTGTTATAATAAAATAATGATTATTAGTAATAAAAAAAAAAGTTAAATATTGATTTATATATAAAATATTTAATTTCTAATAGATTGGTTGATAATCGATTCAATTGAATCGAGTGTGAATAAAAATCGGTTTGTCGCCAATGTCTAGAGTTGCTACTGCCACTGGTTATTTAGAAGAACAAAGTCAAGAACAAGAAATTCGTAAAAGATTATCAAATAAAAATCCTGAAAAAAAGATGATACCATTATTTTATCGTCGAAAACGTCCATCAAATTTATTTAATTTAATGCGATATTTATTATTTATATTAATATTTTTAACATTTATATTAATATTATATTCATCATTATCATTATCACCATTTCTTCGTTTACTTGATCCATATTCATATGTATTAGTATTAGATGCTGGTTCAACAGGTACACGTATTCATGTTTATAAATTTCGTTCATCAACTGACAATGAAAATGATGATACATTTGTATTAAGAAGTGAAGTATTTAAAGAATATAAACCTGGTTTATCATCATTTGCTGATCAAGTTTATAAAGCTGAAGAACAAATAAATGATTTATTAAAAATAGCTGATAAAGAAGTAAGTCGATTCAAACATCGAAATACACCATTAGTTTTACGTGCTACAGCTGGTTTAAGATTATTAAATGAAACAAAACAAAAACTTTTATTAGATTCGGTTTCAAATACATTTAATAAATATGGATTTTATAGACCAAAAATGGATATTGCTGTTATGAATGAAACAGAAGAAGGAATTGATGCTTGGCTTACACTTGTTTATCTTAAAGGTATTTTTTTTTTCGTTATAGAAAATAAGGAATTATCAATTCATTTTTCAAAATGATCAAACATAAATATTTCTATATACCACACTCGATTATTAACACATTTGAGACAATGAGACATAGTATATGATTATACTCATTGTAGAATTGAAGTCGAGTCAAAGATTTTTTTGTTTTGATAAGTTAACTCCTTTTATAGAAAAAAAAAATCAATTTCTTATGCAAACAACAGATCAAATATCAAGACTCGATAATTTCTCTTTATTTTCGTTCGAGTTACTTATCCTATAAAGAATTTCAAATATTCTCGATTCTATATGTTCATCATGACTTATCTTATCAGAAAACTATAAAAATAAATCGGATTAATTCTATTATATTTGCTAAGACACACTCATATTTGTAGGAGAGATGCTCATAGCAGCGTTGACGCCGTTGTGAGAGCATCAGATTTCTATCCGTGATAGACATATTTGATTTGTAGGTAATATTTAATAATGTTTGGTTTATTTTGATTGAGTTTGTTGATTTATTTTTCGATATCGTTGATCTAATGTATTTGTGATAATAATAAAAATATTGAAATAAAATATTTTAGGTGAACAATTTTATGCAAGTCGTATAGCAGCACTCGATTTAGGTGGTGGTTCAACACAAATAACATATAATCCATCATTATCAAATACAAGTTTAGCTGAAAAATTAAATTTATTATTAAAAGCTCAACAACCAATTGAACCTAAAGAAATAAATGCATTTCGTGATTTAGCTAATAAAAAGAAAAAACAAATGCCAAGAATTGATGTTGATCAAGCTGATTTAGAAGAAATAAAACCAGCTAAAATAGTTAATATTCGTGATAAAAAAAGTGATAATAAAAATTTAAATGAAGAAGAAATATTAATGAGACATATGCATCAATTTCGAATGTTTCGTCGAGATATAAAACTTTATTCACGTTCATATTTAGGTTATGGTTTAATGATTGCTCGTCAAACAATATTTATTAATGAAACAAATGATAAACAATTAATTCAATCACATCAATTAAAAAGTCGATGTTTTTTAAATGATGTTACTGGAAAATTTAAATTTCAAGAAGTTGTTTGGACTGTTCAATCTCAACAAGGTTTTCAATTTTCTTTTTCTTTTTCTTTTTTTTTAATAAAAAATAATAAATAATGTGATTTTGTTAAGATATAAATGAAGAGGAACGTTTTTATTCGTGTTTGTCATTAATTGATGATTATGTTGGTTTAAATGTTGAAAGAGGTGTTGGTCTTGATCAAATGTCAATATATGTATTTTCATATTTTTATGATATAGCAAGTGAGGCTGGTTTATTATCAAGTGAAGATGATCCATCATCAATAACAATAATGCCAATAAGAGTATTAAAACAAACAGCTAAAAATGTTTGTCAGGGTAGAACAACAACATCAAAAGAACATCCTTTTTTATGTTTTGATTTAACATATATTTATTCATTATTAACTAAAGGTTATGGATTATCTGAAGAGGTTTTAATTCATATTTGTAAAAAAATTCAACAATTTGAAGTTGCATGGTCTCTTGGTTTAGCATTAAAATTGTTATAGAATATTCCTTCTTTTTTCTTTTTTTTTTTTCTTTATTTAACTTTTATTGTTATTCACTTTTTCTTTCTTTTTGGCAACGACAAACAGATTTTTGTTTTTCAATCGATGTCTTTATTCTTTCTTTTCTATTAATATATTGGAAATTTAATTCTGTTTATTGTTTTGTTTTTTTCATATTTTATGAAAAAAAGCTTATTTGAGAATATTCTAATATTTAGTTAAATAAGAAGAATTAAATTAAATCTAATGTCAACGCATAAAAAAACAAATAAAAATAAACAACAACTTAAAATTGATATAACGAGTGATAATATTTGTCGTGAGTAAAATAAAATAATATTTGAGAATAATAAAAAGAAAAATGTTTATCTTGTAGCATGATGTTACATTGGTAAACGTCGTTTAGAAAACGCACTTTCTCAAATAAATCTCTCTAATATAAATCTATCAATAAACTGGTATCCATTTCAATTAGATCCTAATCTTCCACGTGATGGATCAGTTATGAA